TATTTATTTTATGTGTATTTTTGCTCGTGTGTCTTTTATTTGTGAAGCACTTTGTAAGTTTGTTTAGAGAAGATACTGAAAATCTCCCACAAGCAATAATAAAATGAAAAGTATTGATTTCAATAGGAGGTTAAAATGGTGGAACTATGTTCAAATCGACACGTCTGTATAATTTCCACCCAAGGCCCTAATGTGCTCTCAGAGCCAAGTGAAGGAGGCAGAAGGAGAAAACTCAAAGCTGCAGCTTCAGGTCAAAGAGCTGAACGAGGAGTTCCGGGCACGGCTGGTGTGCTATGTGCAGGACTTGGCGGTGAGCAGTGAACACAACATGGCGACATGACAAGTCCCTCATTTTACTCTGTTGCTCATTTTCACGTGTTTGAACCCAGGGTTACATTGATGGACTCGGAGATGGGAAACCTCCCTCACAGGGACCTAAGATGAGGGTGTTTGTAGAAAACCTGCTGCAGGATGTGCGTTCCTCCTACAGGGTCAGAGAGGAGCAGCTGGCTTCTGCTGCTCGCTCCTATAAGAAGAGACTGCAGAAGACCACTAAGACCCATCATGCACTGCTCATCGCATACAGGTAACAGGCAGTCCAGGTCCCTAAACATAAGGTTCAATGTTAAAACACATATCAGACACAAAACAGCAGAAATGTAATAATGATGATTAATAATGATGTTGTAATTTGTATATATTAACTTATTTGATGAATTAGCATCACCAGACTTTAGATTTTGCTTTTAGGGTTCAGAGGGAGCAGGTTTTGGCAAAACCAGAGTGCGGTCTTGATCCTGGACTTCCAGAGGCCAGTTTCAGCCTGGAGCTCACCGAGCTGAGGGATGAAACTGAGAGCGAGCTCCAGCATGTTCGTCTGGACAAAGCGAGGCTGGAGGCTCGGCTGCAGGCGGCCCTGGAGCAGGTAGAGTGAAAAGAAAGATGGCTGCTTTGAAGTGGATCGATGTGCTTTTGTTTTGTCTGGTGAATGTTTGTATTGGGTCTGCGGGGATTCTTCTTTGTGTCCTATTATAAAGCCAAAGAGCGAGCGGTGAACTGTGATCACCTCACACAGACAAAAAGAATTATTGCTGCAGAGGTGGATTTCAGATCATGTAACAGCATTGATGGATATTTGATGATGTTTAATATAATCTAGTTGCCTGTTGGAGTAATAAGAGCGTGATTGTCACTTTATTTTACATTTGCTTTTAAAGAAGTTGCTAGATTTTAGTTTCAGTTAATACAAGGTCAGTGGTAGAATGAACAGTGTCGGACAAGAGGACAGGACAGCTCAGCAGGAAATAATGCTATTTCTGTTCACTTTGAGTTTCCTGTTTCCAGGTGGCTGCCCTAAAGATGCCTGGTCAGAATTCAAGCTGTCTGGAGTGAGTGTCATTTTTCTATTTCATCTTATGACAGATCAGCTGTGGGGTGTGTCATTAAATTTTTTTTTTCAAACTGTCCCTTTTTTCAGGCCGGTAAAACTGGAGCAGAGATGTGAGGAACCCTGGATGGATGTAAGGACACAACTGAAGATCACAGACTCTACGCTGGTAAACAAACCTCTCTTCCATTTCAATTTCTGATTTCATTAAGAATCTTACAATCTTTTATGGGATGAAGGAGATTTGAAGCTTTTTCTCTGACAGGTGAGCTTTGAGAAGGAGCGAGCTCTTCTCATCACCAGGGCGACAGTTGCAGAGGCGCAGGTGTCGGAGTTGCAGGACTACGTCGACAACCACCTGGGCAGGTCAGCAAGTCTCTTAAAGGGATAGTTCACCGAAAAATGAAAATTCAGTCATTATCTACTCAGCGTTGCAGCCAAATACAAGAGGGGGACTGATGGGAGACTTTTAGGCTAACAACATGGTGTAAATTATGCTATTTCAAGTCAAATTTGAATGTCGGGGCTTACTAACACTTGGATGACACCAGAGGAAGCTGTATGGAGGCATTTCAAGTTTGAAGATTAATTTACTTCAATTGTATTGGATTTGGCTGCAACACTGTTCACCCCTGAAACTCCAATAGTGTTTTGTGGACTCAAACACTTCGCCCACCCCTCCATCGGCCTCGGGGTGAATAGATGATTTTCGCTGAACTATCCCTTTAACGCGCAAGTCATGTAATGTTTCAATTTATACGAGCGTTGTACTGAACATTAATGCAACCTGCAGGTATAAAGAGGAGATCACACATCTCCGCAGACTGCATGGGAAACAGGAGGGAGGCCGATCCCAGAGTGCTAATTCATCTCTTCATTAAGAAAACAGGAAATCCCATCTTCAGTCATACGTTCTCACATTTATGTATTTTAGTTTTAAAAATGTTTTCCTCTGAGATCACACAAATCAAAAGCAGTTTCAATTAATTTAGTTTCCATATAAATCCATCTGGATGACCTGTTTTAAGTGTTTAAACATGGTTTGTGAATCCCTGGTGCGTTCACACACCATCACTAGGTGGTGCTGCTCATTCTGCTGCTTTTCTCTATGAAAGGCCCCCAAAGAAATCTGGCCTTGAGAAAAAAATGCCTGGAATGTTTGTAAAGCTTATGTCAATTTCACGAGCTCGGGAGAAGAAAGCGTGGTGACAGCGAGGGGTCACCCTGGTGAGAATAATGTCATTACATGTTACCCAGACACATACACGCCTGTGAATGCTCTCCCCTCAATGCCGTGCTGAGAACTGTGGCGGACAACAAGCCGGGCTTTTTCCCAAGTGAGGGGTTCATATTTATAACCTTCAGTGTTTGTGTGAATAGGAAATTATTCCCTTTAAATCCCTTTAACAGTGAAAAGGTCTGCTCTTTTTTGTCTCTGGCGTGTTTTGGTAGCAGGGTCCCAACAGCTGATATAACTTTAAAAGTAGAAAGTACTTGTGGTATTATTTGAAAAGTTTGGCTGAAAGTGTCAGAAAGTTTATATCAAAGTTATGTTGAAAGCTGAAGTAGTCTGGGGAATGATGGGAAAAGTAGAGGGGATGGAGAGAGTCATAGGCATGTCACCCCAATCCCCTTTTCAGGGGGCATGCCAGCCATCGGGAGGGGGAGGGTGGGTAACAGGGGTGTGAAAGTCTGAGAGGAATGGGAAGTGGGATTTTGTAAGTAATGTATTACACTCCCAGGGCCCTGGGAAAAGGGGTGGGGGGGTGTTCGGCTTGGGCCCGTGCCAACATAGTCACTGTGCCAAAGCGCTGGGTGCTGGGGACCACTCCTCACCGGCGGATCTGTGGGAAAATTAAAAACCAGGTTGTTCTTTGCTGCTGCGCCAAACAAACACAAGAGAAGAGAGGTGATGTGTCTGCAGAGGCCTCTGCACACAAAATGAAATCAAACAAAACGCAAAGAAAATAGTAATTATTTTTTAATTTAAAGAAATACAATATAGTATGAGCAACTGGTCTCCAAGGCAACGTGCCAAGTTTTTTTTTCCTCAACATTTTTGAAGAACTTGACTCCTTGGACTGTGACCAGCTATTTATTGAACACAATATGACGTCACTATTATGGTACAAATAATATAAATAATAATAAGTAGAGTAATATATCTGAATTCTAGATTTTGATTTAGATCCAAACATTTGCATACTGGGTTTATCCCCTGTGAGAATACAGGTGAAACCAGTACGCTTTGCTAACAATAGGGCAGCTCAAGCAACGACAGAGCACTAAGCACCTCTTTTTATGTTTCTATTTAATCCTATTTACACAGGTCTTTTTTCATCACCTGTATCAGAATTAAGAAATTATAAATTCACATTTTTGGTAAATTATTCAATTGTATTTTTTATATAATTTCCACATTAATTTGATCTAAACTTTGGTTAAGATCAACAATGCCCCTGCATCAAATGTCATTTATCACCCAAAGCCCCAAACCTACAGTCACATGATTTGAAAACATAAAAAAAATCATCCTTCTGTGTTATTTCTTTTTGCCTCAGATGTGAGAGCCACCAGCAGGATTATATACTCCATGTAATTAGCAGTTTGTTTTTCATCCGTCTGCTCAGCTCAACCAGTTTATCAACTTTACTGTCCCCGTCCCACTGAGAGCGGAGAACAGGTTTTTCTACCATGAGCACACAACCCAATAAAATAGACACACAGACATAAAATCTGATTTACACCCAACAAAACGTCGACTGACAGAACCGCACACGCTACTGTTTGAATGTGTGTGTTTGCACTGTTAATAACAGATTGAATTGTTCCATAACTCCTGTAATAAAACAGTTTGCTTTAATACTATTTGTACAGCCACAGAATACTGTGTAAGAGTTTTGTATCATTGTTCTTTATTTCTGTCTGGAAGATGGCACATTGAGATCATATATTTCAATGACGTTGCTATTAAATGGTTTTCATGTGATGTACACAACAATTCAAACTTAATTGATCAAGACTAAACATTTTAATCTAAGGGAGGCGGCCGTGGTGCACCACGACCGAGGTGCCCTTGAGCAAGGCACCACCCCCCTCCCCCCAACATCCGCTCCCCGGGCGCTGACAACGGCAGCCCACTGCTCTAGTATATGTGTGTACATGGCATCTGTCTATGTGTGTTTCTATGCAAGTGCGTGTTTCGACAGGTGCCAACTGGATGGGTTAAATGCGGAGAACAATTTTATGTATGCATGTAAAAAGTGTAAAACATGACAGTAAAAGTAAATCTTCTTCTTCTTCTAAGGAAGGGTTTATTTCAGGAGTACTTACTTTTTGTCCTCTAATGTTGTACAGATGTAGTTTCTTAGATTCATGCCCAGCACTCTTTAAAAAGAAGGATTCATGATTCCTTCTCAACCATTGAAATGTTTCACATCATTCTATGGACATTGTTTGTCTTCTTTCATTTAAACAATTGGATTTTAAGTTCAAACTTAAAATGTTTTACCATTTAAAATCCTGTCATTTACGAATTAAGTACTGTTAACTATGCAATACAGTCCTTACAATACAGCCCAGTACAACTAATACATTTTTTGAACATCTTTATCACTTGGATTTCTAAATGTACGTTTTTAATGAGAGAACACAGAAGATTAGCATTCTGGTTCATGTGAACTCATCATTATACTGATCCTCAAGACCAAGACCTCATCAACATTACAACTGTGTGTAAACTTGCGACGCTTGTTCAGTTTCTCCGCTTTCGTCTGTTTTGTCGTTACTTTCAGGCCCAGATTTGTTTTGTGAGCAGCACAGTGGGAAAAGAGTTGGATGAATGTATCGTTCTGTGGATGGGAAGCAGGGTGGACCTGTGCGGAGGAAGTACCTCACATGGCCCGCGATGGGCCGCTCGTCAAGAGGCCCTTTGTTTTAGGAGGTTAATGCCTAATTGATACAGGCTTAATGAGAGCGGGCCTGTGTGTGCAGAGTGTGTGAGCCGGGGGCTGGGCGGCCCTGTCGTAATTGGAACGGACAAGCCTTGTGTGGAGGAGTGCACGGGGAGAGGATTTATTGGAACACAAGGAAAGGAGAGAGAGAGCGAGAGAGAGAGTGGGAACCAGGAAGAAAAGGTGACAGTGAGTGGGAGGAATGTGGAGGCAGTGGGAGAGGAATCTGATGTGGTCGTCAGAGTATTGCAAGATCGTGCGAAAGAAATGCACTGACAATGGAAAAGTGAGCAAAGAGTTTAACCAGGACGTTCCCATGCATGTGTGCTGAATGCTCCTCCCACGATACTAACATGTGTTGTTTTTCCACTTGCTGCATCAATATGTGCTCTATACAAGTTGGTGAAATACATGTTTTAACGTTGGATATTAATCAACAAAAGTAAAGATGGCAACACTAACTGTCTCTGCTGTACAAGACACCTGGCTGTTCTTTTCTGATGAGCTGTCTTTTCACCCCCTCTCTCAGTCTGACAGTCTCAGACTATTCATGCAAGAGTCCCCAGCTACCCTCCAGACAAGCTTTCAGCACAGAGGCTGGAGAGGCATTAAGAGGGAGGAGGGCCGGGGCAGCAGAGGCGAGCACAGAAGAAACGTGCACTTCAGAAAACCTTGAAGAATCAGGCCTGAAAGCTGGGGAGATTGTGGGTGGCTGCGAGAAGGGGAGAAAGAGAATGAAAAGAAAGAATAAAAAATAAAGGGGATCAGTGTGCATAATTATAAAGATGAGAGGGGGAAACAATGAAAAATGGATTCTCGGGGGTGAGGGTTAACAGAGTGGGTCGCTAAAAAGGTAAAAAAAAAAAAGAAAGAAAATGGAGCTTGGAGAATATAGGGTGAGAAAAGAGGGGAGGAAGAGTTACAGTAAGGGTGAGAAGGACAGGGGAGGGAGGCAGCGTGATGAACAGGAGTGAGTGGAAATGAGGCTGAGAGTGAGTGTGAGGGAACGAGAGAGGGACAGACCCTCTGCTTTCCCACACTCGGCCGGTTCCCACAGTGGACCCGGCTAATCCCTGTCTTAATTGGGGGAGAATTCCAGCGCACATGTTCCCCTGGAATGAGCGAATAGACTGAGCGACAGGGAGAGGAGAGCAAAGGGAGCTTCCGACACATCAGACAGAGCACGGCGGCCGGCCTGATGCACTATGTGCCAGGGCACTTTGTCGGAATATAAACACGCAGCAACTGTCAGCACGTCTGATGCATAAATGGCCTCAAAAGTTCCTCTTTCACCCGATCCAGCAGGAGAAGTGCTCTCAGCAGACACTCAGTCACATTCCACCATGACCAGAGTACTGTTTGCAACTGGAAGGAAAAAAAAACTCAAAAAAAACACACAAGTTTTAAAAATATGTTTTACCTCTGGTGCAAACAAGCCTTGACTGATTATATATATATTTCATTGTAATGTATAACTTTCACCTTATTGTGTTCAAGGTGCATGATGAATTATGTGTAAACATATTATTGTTATTCAGCTTGAGGCTCTGCAGCACATGGAGAATTGTGTGATTTACTCCCTGTTTTCAGACATATTAAGTCAATGATTCCACAGTCTTATCACTTCCATCTTATCAACCCAGATCGCCCTGAACGCTCAAAGTAAAACCAAACATGCAGATCCTCAGTTTTTCTCTGGGAATGGTTCAAAGTAATTCTGGGAAATGTAGGAGGTCAAATATTTATGTAGAGATGTTACCAAATGATAATCATTAACAACTAGAATCCCACTCAGTATCCTTGCTCTTACTTTAAACTATTCTTGTTTTGACATGAAAGGTTTTGACGTCTCCTAATCTGATATTGACGCTTGGTTTTACTTTAATCATTCATATGTTTATTTACAAAATATATTGTAAGCTGTCCTT